TGAAAGCCGCTGCGCAAGCCCCTTGCCAAGACGTGCTTTATTCCTAAAGCAGGACTCACTGGCAGACCTACCCTCACTTTTTGGCTGAAGAAATAACTCAATTTCCCTCCTGCCTCCTCTCTTACCCTCCCGCTCCCTTCATTTGAAACCGATGCACAAACTGTGTGAGGTAATTAAACTGGGTATAATTAAACTTATCCTTTCAGCGCAGGTCTGTGTGCAGGTCCTGGTTTCTTGTGGATTAACACACCTGAAGTCAAACGTTGCTGTGGCAGGGCGATGTGTATTTATGTATCTTTTCTGAAGGCGAGCGGAGCTGGGACTCTAATCCTTTCTGACAGGTGAGGTCACCCTTGAGAGCTGCGCGCCCCGGGAGGGCTCGTGCGAAGGGCAGGAGCGCGACGCTCTCCCAGCTGCGTCAGCTGACGGGGGATGCCCTGAGCCACTTGCTCCTCCGTTTGGGAGCAGGTCCTGGAGCTCCTCGGTCTTGACAGGAGACCCTTTTTCCTGAGCATAGGCTTCATCTTTCTTGTCTGTTTCTGACTCTAATAAGGTCACTGGATGTGAAGCATGGAAAACATCTCCACTTCCAGGGGCGGATTTACTTCCAGCACTGCAGTTGTTCCTCTTCGTGTAACATCACCTCTGGTAAGGCAAAAAAAACCCACACATGGAGCTGGAATGTCACTGAAGGTCCCCATTCAGCTTAGGGCTGAGACATGGTGGCAGGGAGGGGAAGCATCCTCCCGGCCCTAGCACACGCTGGGGTGGATCTGTGGGCTCCTGGTCATCTCCGTGGGGAAGGAGGCAATCCTCATGTGAGGGTGACGCCTTGGAGGAGCCCTGTTACAGCCGGCCCCGGCGCGAGCGGGGCTGTGCAGAGCTGGGGGTGAGAGGCCGCTGTGGCGGGAGGCGCGCGGTGAGGGGCGCCGCGGGCGCCGTGTGAAGGGCAGTGTCAGGACATCTGCTGGAGCCCATGGTTGTGCGCTGAGGCACCAGGGGGGTCTCCTGAGCTCCCCACCTCGAAGAGGAGGCCAGGACAAGGCCCTGCCTTGCTTGTTTTCCAGTGTGGGGCCTTGGAGCTGTTGCTGCGTACCCGTGGGTGACCGGAGAAGGGGGCAAATGAGACCTGCTGCCGTCCGTAGCCATTAGCCACAGCATTAGCTGGGCACGTGCCCTTCAGGCCCTGGGGCCACCGCCCGCCTCTAGGCCAATGAGAGGGCCGTGAGCTGAGTGTGGTGCAGCTGAACGCCCTCAGGGAGGGCCCCGCAGTGCAGGAGGCTCATCCTCCCACCGCTCCAGTTAAATCCGTGACCAGGAATGACTCTTGGCGTCCTCATGAGGCACTGGCACATCCCTGAGGGCCTAGCAGTGCAGCCCCATTTCCCTCCTCCACCCGTGCCACAGCCCCACGGGCTCAGGCAGCGAGAGGCTGTGATTAGCACCAAACATGACATGATGCAGGTTAAGTATCTATTTAAAATATGCCATATATTTGTTTTTAAAGAGATAATACGGAGCAGTTCATAAAAAAAAAAAAAAAAAAAGGGGGAAAATGGGTGCTCCCCACCCATTTTCATAAAGCTCTCTGAGAATCAGCCCGTGCCCAAGGGCTGGGCTCGGTGGGGGCTGCTGCTTGCCCCACGACCACCATCAGCAGCTTCAGAGTGCAGGTAGTGCAGTTCTGAGGGAAAAAAAATGCCTGATTCGTAGTTGCTTATGCAGTGAAACTAGCAGGCAGCAGAGGAGCGACACCCTTTTGGTGGGTCACACATAAACCCTTCCTACATGGAAGACCACATATGGGCGAGGGCCTGGATGCTGTTCTAGCAGCGTTAGGAAGGTCTGTGCTGAACACCACATCTGTCCTGGCAGAGCTCGTGTGGCTGCAGCCAACTAGTGAAGCTGTGCTACTTCCTATGACCCAGGTGCATGTTACGTTAGTGCAACTCAGGTCAGGTGCCGTGTCCTGTCCCTGATGTCTGATGGCCGAACACCCCCATGACCAGGAGGCTTTGCCGTCGTGCTGAGTACCCGTGTGGGGCCTGGTCTGCCCCGGCAGCCCCAGTCCAAGGTGCTCAAAATCCCGGCTCTTATGGAGCAACAGCTGGACAAGGATTCCTATGTGCCCAGCTCCCTTAAGGCAAGGCTGGCCCAGCAGCCTCCATGGGGTAAGTTACTCCAGCGTGGCTCTGAGAGAGGCCACAGTAAAATCCCCAGGGCATCAGTGTGGGCTCTCCTGTTCTGGCAGGAGCAGCAGCACAATGTGAGGGTCAAAGCTGCACATCAGCCATCCTGGCCCTCTGCCTCCCCTGGGGGGGGGGAGCGGGTGGGTGGGGGGGGGGCCAGGCCCCTCCTGCCGGTCCCCACGCTGCCACGGCCAGGCCTTGGGCTGCGGGCTCTCACTGAGGGGATGTTCCCAGCGTTGACACCAAGTTGGACAGTGGGCTTGTTGGGAAGGATGCAGGACACGCTGCGCCGTGTCTGCAGCGCCTCTTCTCCCCAGGGAGTCACAGATGGAGTCACAGATATGCCCATGCCGTGGTGGCCTCCTCTCCTTGTGGCCAGCTGGCTGCTGGAAACGACGCTTGCCCCATCCTTCCTCGCATGGCTGCTGAGTCAGGCGTTGCAGACAGGGTCACCGCAGGAGCAGCGCCAGGGGCAGCAGGAGCATCGCTGATGAGACCGAGATCTCCGCAGCGCCGCCACAGTCTTGGGCGTTTTCCTGGGAAGGAGACAGGACATCAGCTTGATTACTGCCATGGTGGCGCTGCTCAGGGGAAGGGAGCCCGCTTCTCACTTTTGGAAAGGCTCACCAGAAAGCCACTCACTTCTCCGGCACTCGCCGTGCCCTGCCCCACACCCCAGTCCAGCTCCTGCCCCCTCAGGGTGCCACAGGAGCTGCTTCTGCAACAGCGACGCTGCCAGGGGGCATGTGGACTCCTGCCCACACCTCCTGCAGCTCCTTGGGGAGTCCTTTGCCCACAAGCAGGTCGCTGTGCTCGCCCCTGGCCTTGGAGGACAGGCAGCCGGGCTCCCCGCTGCCAGGGGCAGGGAGGACAGGCAGCGGGGTGAGCACCTTGTGCCGCGCAAAGGTGCCCAGGCCGTGCTCACCTCAGTGGTGCCGGAGCTGCTGCTGCCACGGCCGCTGGCTGCCAGGAGTGCTTGCAGCAGCAGATGCTCTTCAAGCAAGCAATTCCCCACAAAGCAATCCCAAAGAAACCCAGCAACCCGCTACCATCTGAACCGGAGCCCTTCACAGATGTCACTAGCACGAACGTTTCCTTGCTAGGAGCCCTCTGGGAAGCCACGCGGCGGTTCCTCAGGCCAGCAGAGGACACACGCGGTGCCCGTGTGCGCAGCGGGGCACCCATGGGCGCCAGCGGCAGCGCCAGAGCCGCGGGTACCTCGGGGTGGAACGCGTGGCAGCTGTCCGGGCGCCTCCGCAGCTTCTGCGAGCGCATCCGCTCGCACTTCACGGACGCGTTGTGTGCGGGGCTGTTAAGGACGAGAGCGGCGGCACGTGAGCGGGGCACGCACCAAGGGGCTGCTGCAAACAGCCCAGGTGTCACCGCTCGGCCTCGGGGACACCGGGGAGGCGGGCAGGAAGGGCTGCAGCGGCTGTGGCAAGCCCTCATAATAATATGCCACCATCTCCCACTTTAAAGGGCAGGGCTGTTTTCCCCACTCCATCACACCTCAGACCTGCCTGGCTCCCCACAGCGCCCCTGGCTGCCCCACAAGCTGGGCCCTGCCCTCCACCTCCTTTCCCTCCCTCACAGCGATCTCTGCAGCAGCAGGTTTGCAGCCCAGCGAACCCAGGCACAGAAGGGGCCTTGCAGGCCTGCTGCACGTAGAAGGATATATTTGACTTCCTTTGCACTCATCAGGACAGGTGGGAAGATGCTGCAGTCACAGGTGGCGTCTGTGACGAGAAGCAGCAGGTTACTGCTGGCAATCTGCTGTGCCACAAACATCCTGTGGAGAAAGAAGCATGAGAGGGAGATCACATCACTCCCACTGCAGAGACAGAGCAGCAGCCCTGGCATCACCTAGCCCTGCTTACCAGAGCGAAGGAATGCAGGAAAAAAACAAAGAGGGAACAATCAGAAAGGGATGCCAGCAGAAAGCAGGAGACATAGCAGGGAATGTGTGCCAGGGAAGATGGTATTAAGACATCTTTTTGTCTGCAGGAAAATCCTAACTGGCTCAGATTCACAAATGTATGTTAGACACAAAAGCTAGAATCAGAACCAAAATCCAACCAACTCCAAGAAGGCCCCATAAGCCCACTCCTCCTAAAACACATTCACATGCACAAGGGGACAGCATGCACCAGCTGGAGTCAGCAAAGAAGATCACACCTGAGAAGTCCTCCTTTCAGGTGGTGGTCTGCCCATTTAACAAATAGTTACACATGCACCTGTACAGTGCAGGGTGTAGGAGTTATATGGTCCTGCAAAGGGCAGATTTTTGCTCAGTTTCATGCTATATTTGTGTGAGAAATGGAAGATCCCGGTAACGTCATTCATTATGTTTGAAAGATAGGCTGCTTTGTTTGACATGGTGAAAAAAAAAAAAGTGACGCCTCAATTTGCAGTCACAAGTTTGTCCCTTCGCCTCCCTGTAGAACAGGCAGAACCCCAATGTGTGCAGTGATGACTAGCAGCACGTGCGGATGAGGACGTATCTAGGCGCAGCTGTTTGCCCACGCACGTGCACGTGATGAGGGGTTGAAGGATGGGGACGCGCTGCCCCCAGGCTGTGCAGGGCTTGGAGGGCTTGCGTGGGCGCAGCAGGGCCAGGTCCAGCAAGTGCGTGCGCTGCTCCGTCCACGTGAGAGCGTGAGGCTGCACGTGCCTGGGAATGTGGGTTTGCACATCTGCACGTGTGCACCTGCAGAAGGCCAGCGGTGGCACCCGCAGGGGCCTGCTGCTGGCGCCAGCAGGACGGCGACGCCGCACCTTGCTTGTGTCCCTGCTAACCCGCTCGCAGCCAAGGAAGAGGGGTTTTGCAACAGGCCATCAAAATACAGGTTTATGAGGCCAACCCTCCTGGCTGCTCTGTAGGACAGCCTTGTTTCCCTGGTTATTCACTACTTGCAATCCAGTCTCTAATGTCTTTTTTTTTTTTTAATATATTCAGTTTTAGAGCCTTGGCAGTGATGCTGAAATGTCACACACGCAGCGTGTGACCCCTTCATGAGTATTCCTGACTGATGATTATTTCTGGAGCTTTGACAAGCAGGCTTTAACCCATGCACAAACTCTGTGATCAGGATGGAGGTGCCCCATATGCAGGACTGAGAGCCAAATTGTTGCCCTCTGCAGTGGAAGCTAATGCCCAGAATGAAGCATGAAGGCCCCTGTGCCACCAGGGACAGCCTCGGGCTGCTAACGTGATCCAGAGAGCCTGTATGCCGGGCAGGTCTCGGGCAAATGCTGCACAGAACCTGTGTCTGAACTCTTCTCTGAGTATCTGCATGAAGGGAGCAAAAGAGATGCACTCAGTACCCAGAACCTGCAATCCAGCCCCACACTTCAGCTACAAAGGAGCAGGGCCTGTCAGTGAATCAAGTGGGGCAGGAAGTAGGAGATGAGGTTTTCAGCCTCATGGTACTGGCATAATCCAAGCTCCCCCTTCTCACCGTTCGGGAGGCTGCTGTAACCACAGGAGCACAGAAGTTCTGAGGTGGGCATTCCCATCTGCGGGCTTTGCTGTTGAGGGTGGGTGAGGGCCCTGCAATCCCCACCAGCCCCAGCTGGGACGGGGCAGCAGCCCTGGGCGGCAGCAAGGCCAGGTCGCCCTGGGGCCGGTTTGCGCGGGTGACTCGTGCAGGGACAGCTTAATGTGCACTGCACAAACAGGTCTGCGTGGGGCACTTAACTCCTTAGGATCTGCCCAAAGCTTATTTCATCTACCCGATGCCTTATTTATTTATTAACCAAATCGGCAAACTCCTCTAAAACAAAGTTTGGCAAGGCCTGTTTTTCATAAAGTCATGCTGACTAGCACAAGCTGTTTTCCTAACCTTTAATTCTTTCCTGTAGTCGATCCAAGACTGAAGTCAGACTGGCTAGGCTTTTTTTCTTTCTTTCTTTTTTAGAGGGATTCCAGTTAGATCCATTTTGACTCCTCTGCACATTTTTGTATTGGGAAAAGCTGGCTGTGGAAATTCATCCTTTCTTCACCTTCCCACACGTGATTACTAATGGCGCTAGGCACTTCATAACTGCTGAAAATGGCCTCACTTCACAATGACTTTTCTGTTATTTTTGACTCTTCATTCTCTTAAAATGAAGATGGAAAATAAAAAAGTGTACTTTTTTTTGGATTTAAAACTTCTCTTTTCCCTCCCTCTTTTTTTTTTCTATAAAAACAGAAAAGAGGGAAAACACAAAAGGAAAAGGAAAGGTGAAAGCAATGCAAAACGGAAAATTTGCTAAAGAGAAAGCCTCTGCCAAAAACATGAAAAACAACAAAAATATTTCTTTTTCAAATCCGTGGAATGAAGTAATTTAAAAAAAAAGCCCTCTCATTGTACAGCCATCTCTGCTTGTTGACAGCTGTTTTATCTTTTTTTCTTTTATCCAGGAGTTTTAACTTGATGCTCCCACCTCTGTGCTGGCCAGTGCGCGTTTTGAGCCCTGTTGGCTGACTCGGTGCCTGCGGCTCTGCGTGTCTCGTGAGCTGGGTAGGAGGGAGGGGAAGGCCTGAGTGAGAGGGAGGCCGTGGCTCTTACTTTTGGCAGTCTCCACACTCGATCAGCCCGTTTGTCTCCTTGATGGCTGGCTCGTACACGAAGACGGGGTACTCGGTGTCGCAGGGCTGCAGGGTGTCGTGCTTCTTATGCTTGTGGGCTGCGTGGTGGAAAGGAGACAAGATGATAGCAAAGCAGGGTTAGAGGCTCACAAGGGAGACGTCGGTAGGGAGGTGGCCATCTGAGGGGGTGGGATGGCCATGTGGGTGGGAGCAGAGCCCCATGCTGCCCTGGGTCCTCTGAGGGTGGCCAGGGGTGGGTGCCCCCCAGAGACAGAGGAGAGGGAGGTGTGTGCGGTGAGATGCTGGCCAAACTCAGCCCTGCAGAGATCCCTGCTCCCACTAGGTGGTGCGGGAAACCCGGTCTATGTTAGAAATGTTCCCGAAATCCCCCCTGGGCTCCCTGCGGCAGGGCTGGGGCCTGCCCTGAGGAAAGGCGCCACGGAGCAGGGTGCGCGGCCACGGCCGCAAGCAGGGCCAGCAAGGCTGTCACAGGGGCAGGGGACACCTGCACCCCTGCGTTCAAGGGAGAGGGCTCCCCCTCTCCCCCGGCCCTGTGTGGAGCAGCGGTTCTGACCTGGCTTCAGCGCTGTGGGGAAGCGAGGCCTCGGTGTCTGCGCTTGCAGACTGTGCTGAGGGCGTCCTCCGCGTCCCCAGGTGAGGCGGGATCCACTACGGGCTAAGGGTAACCCCTCCAACACACGATGCTTGGTAGCCTTCCTAAATCTGTGATTTATTGCAACCTCCCACGTTTCCACGTCCCCCATCAACTTCTGATCCTTTCTGAATCCTGCAACACTGCATTGGAAGTCCGATAGCAGGGAATTTGATGCGTTAAATATGCATCAGGTTAAAATGAAGGCACCACCAGCCAAGAGCCCTGCCGTGGAACTGCGGGCCAGGGCCAGACAGCGCTCGTGGAGCAGCAGAGCCCCAACCCAGGTGAGGAACCAGCTCCTGGAGGGGCCCATCCATGACGGCGGCAGCGCGGCTGGGCCGTCACTCACCAGTCACACCCTGCGGGGCTCCCAAACCGATTTTGGGATGAGCGGGAGCCCAACTGCCGCTTCACCCTACAGAGCCTCCCCACGGAGCCCCAGCAGCCTTTCCAAGGGTTCAGCGGGGTCTTCCTTTCCCCAAACAGAGCCTTGCTCATACTGGGCCAGCCTGGCAGTTATAACCCCCCCCCCGCCTCTGTCACCCACCAGGGAATGTCTCCGATCGAAGTGTGAGGCTTTGTTGCTAGGGGAGAAGTGGCTGAGGCTCGAACTGCGCGGAGTAGGAGAAATGGTTTCTAAATCAGCGCTGGGGTCTGCACACAAGGGGCTCCCACACAGCCCTCCACCTACACGGTGGCTGCAAGCGCTGCTGCACGTGATGGGCAGGGGTAAAGACTCTGTGTGGTCTGGAGGGCACCAGCTTTTTCTCTGCAGCAGCCCCAGCACTGATAATTTATAGAAAAATGCAGCAACAGAGGTTTTAATCAGTAAAAAAATGTGGTACGGCAAGAAGGCACCAAGAAACCATCAGTGATACCTATGAATAACCTGTGTTGCTGTAAAACCCAAAGGTCCTCACTGAGACCTCTGACGTCCTCTCCTGTGGCTCTGCTGAAGGACACAGTCGGGCAGGCACTCTGCAGGAGCTTGCTGCTTAAGCAATAGGGGTTACGTGAGGGAGGGACAAGAAGGATGATTCTTCTCTCTGCCCGTGGAGATCCAGTGACATCCGACATCCATTAACAGCCAAGATCTGCAGCCAGATCTCCCCTCTGATGCCTCTAATGCCTTCAGCAGGTGATGCGATGTGTATTTAAACCCTTCCCTGCAGCACAGAGTCTCTGGCAGTTGTGCCTTGTGTTTTTCTTCAAACTCTTTCTAAATATGTCATACACGAGTCAGCCTCCTACTTAAATCCTTCCAGGCTCTGGGAACCACCTTTTAGTATCGTGTTTGGGTTCATCTTTCACAATTCCCAAAGCATACAGGCCTTGATATGAGCATGCTGCTTTGCTATGTAGTCACACTTAATTCATTTTAAATTAATGGATGAAAATGTTCGGGGTCTGAGAGCGACTCTGTGGCCAGCCAGGAGCTCTCCGGCTGTGTCTGTGACCATCTGTGCAAAGAGGCACCTAAAAAAACCCACGCTGCAGAAGCACAAAAAGGCCTCTCCCATTTTTACTAAAAGAGAACTGCTCTTACTAGGTTGTGTTGTAGAGATGAATATTCCTAAGGCTATATGGGATGAGTGGTAAAATATGCTATTACTGAGTCAAATTTCAAAGTAGGATTAGACATTTCTGGTAAAACATGAAGGATATTTTCATTTATGCTCTAATGCTTTCCTACTCAGACTAAGTGTGAAGAACTAACCATTTGCCACTGAAGTTCCCTGATAGTAGAAGGAGGATGGAAAACAGAGTGGGAACCTTTTCCTTCAGCCATATTTTGCTGTACTAGTGGCTAGGAAAATAACTAACTCCAAAACACAAGGCCGAATCTCCCAGTCTGTGCCCAGCACAGGGCCTTTGGAGGAACACACCTGTTGCAGGACCACACATTTGCCCTAAGCCAATGACCTCTCAGTGTCCCGTCATGTTACATTTGGTTCACAGCACTGTGCTCACCAAGACTTTCATAGCAGCAGAGCCTTTGGAGTCAGACTCTGCCATTCCCTGTGCAAAACAGCAGCTGTGATGGCAATAAAGTTGTTCTGATAAAGGTATGGTGCAAGTGTCTGCCAGAATTTAGCAAACTGCTCATGCCAGGAGTTACAAAGACACAACAGAGCCTCATGCCAACTGCTCAGTTTTCTCTTCCTCCCTAACACAGAATTGGCTTCTCCGTTGGCTTCAGCTTCTTGGTGTAAAATCATCAAATCTACTGGAGTAAGAGCTATATAAAAATCAGTGGAGTAAAGAGTGGGGGAATGGAAGGCGATTAAGGCCTCCCAAATTCAGGCAGTATTGAATCAGGACTGCTGTGCTGCTCCTGGCAGTCACAGGAGCAGGCTGTGTATTTGAAGGTAAGTGTGTGCACCAACTCTAGCTCCTTCAGGAACACTTCTAACACTGGTAGCACGGGCTAAGTCACTATAGGAAGTTGCGCTTCTGTTTGCAGTCTTTTATAAATGCCTGCAGTTCAATTTGCACTGGGTTAACCTCATCATGTGCACTAAGCTGTATTTTTAAACTGTGTTAAACCCGCAAAAGTCCCCCGCACACAGCATCTTAAATCAGTTTCTTGGCAAAGGCTAAATGAAAACAAGCCACTTCAAAATCTCCTGACTTCTGCACAGAGACAAGACCGACCTAAGACAGAGATTATGCTTAAGCCTCCTGCCTCTTATTTTGTCTGGAAGCAGTGCAGCTGCAGAAGCGTTCAGAAGTTCAGCTGAGCCCAGTAGCATGAACATCGTCAGTGTTACGCTTGGGCTGAGTCTCTGCGTGCACATGTTGGACATCAAAACGTTATCAGCAGCTCCAAGAGTCTGCTGGTCAGGGATTAGTAAACAGCCAAGGGAGCTGATAACAAATTGCAAACTTTATAGCAAAGAGTGAGTTAATTCCAGGCTGTCATTGCTGCCATCTGCACTTCCACAAAGACTTTGGCAGGCAGTTGGCAACCAGTCCTTCCGCACAGCAAAGGAAGCTGCTGCTCCCTGTTATGAACTATAGAGCCCAGATTGTGAACTCTTTGCCATTAGCATAAATCATGAATAATTACAGCCAAGTCAATAGATCTGCACTGATGGAAAAGAGACAAAACCTGCCACTTAGTTACAAATGCAAACTTCCAAGTACTGATTTCTGTGCAATACAAAGCACAGAACTTAATCAATTATCTTGTATATCCTTTGTGGACTTTATAATGCAATCAAAAACAGATTTTTTTTGACCTACAGAATTCTAGAAATAGTCCTTTCTAAGCTGCAGCCCTTGGCTGAAAATATCTTTGGCTTAATTAAAGGCTTTCAGATCTGTGATGATTTCCATAAAAGCAGAAGCTCTTACAAACACAGACAGGAATGAGATGCAGAGAGCAGTGAGAAATCTGTGGTAGCAAACATGTCTTCTCTCCATCACTGAAAAGCAGATTTGCATGATAAGTGCACTGTGAATCAGTTATGCCCATATTCCAACTGCAAGTCTTGCCTTCCCAGACAAGGGAACTTGGGAAGCAGGAATATGATCAGAGCTGCGGAGCCAGAGTTGCACATTCAGCTAAGGGTGAGCATTAGATCCTCAACCATTAATTCTTCTGCATGTATCCCTGAATAAATACATCCTCAATTTCTCTCTCACAAAATGTCTCCTTCTCTCCTTACTTTTTGCATACACCAGTCTTGGCAGGCAGTCAAGAAACTGCTAACATCTCTAGCAAAAATCTACAGCCTATTCTTAACAACATGTGCAATCCATTCCTTCCAGCCCCAACAGTATTCTTCCACCCTGCTACCCCCTCCCACATATGGACAATCATTTTTTTCACCCACAGCCATGCTCCCTTTCTCATGCTCCTCTTCATCCATGAAGACACATTCCAATGGTCTCTGTTTCTCTCACGCATACATCTTGCTGGGCAGAGAGCAAATCAGTGAATACAAGCTGGACATGGAGGCAGTGAGATACAAACACAGCCAGTCTGGACTGTGTCTGGAGGGATTTCGAACTTGCCTCTAAGGGTGGATTTATGAGCTAGAGGATATGCTTATCAGTAAAACTGATTGAAAATTATACTGCATTACCCTAGAGCTGGGCTGCTATTCATCAGAAGGAGTCGTGCCACAGCGTGTGGAAAAGAAGTCTTAAGTTGCTTCCTAATATCTGAAGTTTAAAAGACCCATATAGTCTATACTGCAAGAAGGCACAGTTTCTGCTAAGAACTTCCCTTTAAAAGTACTCTTTGTTTTTAGCAAGATGCCTGAAATGAGTGGGGCAGCTGGGAACCGAAATAAAGGACACGTCACATTACAGGTGTTAAGGGCACATCTATGCAGCAGCAATGAGTGGTGGTTTTGTCTGGGCCGGCACTCTGAAGAGACTGGTGTGTCCCTTCTTTTATCGGCTTCCCAGGCTTTACTGTTCCAGGTACCAGCTCGGGCAGCTAAATAAGCAGCAGCACTGCTTGCTTCTTCTCACTGTACTGCAAGGAAATAGAGCCAGGCACTACCACGCTGCAGTGAAACCCTTCTGCAAGTTTCATACTGCCCGAGAGAAGTGAAAAAAATGCCTTTCCTAGCCTGGGTTTTCTAGCTACATCCTGATCTTTTTGTTGCTAGACAGTTCTACTTACAGTGATGGAAAACAGCCTTGGCTGGACAGATCACATAACACGCACACATGATGAAGATGGAGCCACATGACAGATTCACATGATGACAGCACAACGAGGAGATGAATTCATACACAGAGGTCATGGAGGTGATGCAAGAGAGAGATGAAGAAAGCAGAAAAGGAAATAGTGATGAGCAGTGCAGCAGTCAGAACCCCTTCCCTTCTTGCTCACATCTCAAAAGTTAAAACATTTACCACCAGTAACAGCTCTTTCAGAAACACCAGGCCTCTAGCTCTGTCCTCCAGTAAGAACAGCCGCTCCAGCACCAACAGCTCAATACTATGCTTGCTCATTTGACTCTTCCTTACTGATTTCTGCATGGAGCCATTCTCTTACTCTGACATGCAGTGCTGCACAGGGGATAACACCACCTCTGGGGATCCCCTTTGAAAGAGCCAAGGGGGAGTTAAATGTTACCTAGACACTGGGCTGGCTCTCCAGCTAGGAGGAAATTTTGCTTTCTGAAAATAACTGCTTTGCTAATACACCAGGAAAAGTGAGGGGAAATGAATGCTCAGCCCTACAATTAGCAGGGCACATATCACTACCTCCAGCAAAAGCACCTTTAGTGCTGAACAACTAATCTGCATGTAACAGCAGTATCTCCACTGCGGTGCCTTGCCTTTTCCTTAGGGTTGCCTCACAGCCATTTACATTCCCTGCATGTGGGAGCAGAGACGAGACCACAGAGGCTCTCGGGACCTTTTTAGCAGGCAGCCTTGTAACTCCTGGGCAGGTCACTGGATTTCAACCCAGCACTCCTATCTCCCAGCCTCTCCTGCTGTACTGAGTTGCTTTGCAATAGCACATGCCACGGCCTTTTATCCTCCAGAGAGAGTTCAGTAGGAGAGATCCTTGCCATGTTATTTGAACCAGCCAGTGCAACTCAGTAGAGAAACTCCCAGAGGGGTTCAAAAAAGGATGCAAAGACGTTACTTCTGTTTGAATTCTGCAGGTGCTCTGGCTAGTTTCCAGCGACCTCTGCTAAGCTCTGCAGAGCCTGCTGGTCCCAGCCCTACTCTGTCCTGTCCCATAGACCCACCATGGTGGGGTGCTTGGAAAGAAGACCCCCAACCTGCAATTTGGGAGAGGAAAGCAGCATCCTCCGAGCTGCATGTTGCAGATCTTCACCCTGACAGCTCTGGTGCTTTGCTAGGCTGAGACGGGAGCAGAAGGGCAGGGAGAAGCAGGGGCTTCCAGACGCCCCGGCGGGAGCCACAAGGTGGGAGCGGGCCGTGTTTTGGCATGACGCTGGTTCTCCCATGCGGCTGCTTCTGCTGCTGGCGGCTGTAGCGCTCGCGTGCCATGGGATAGTTGCATTCCTGTATACTCACCATCTGCCAAGTTGTCTGTCTGCCAGAAGCTACTCATGTTAAACTCCAAAAGGAAGCTGTCAAAAGAGCAAGAACAGAGGACACTTTTTCAGTAGTCTAGAGGGATGCAGGTGTCAGTGAGATGGCCCTGTGAGTATCAGTTCCAAAATGTTCGCTATGAATTTTTTGTCAGGAGAAGTCTGAAATGTTTTTTTCTTTTTTTTTTCTCCTCAGTATTTGATACAGTATAGGTAAGCACATGGACTGTGCAGTAACTGAATGGACGTTTTCCAGAAGCACACACTCTATGTGGGCCTTGCCACTGAAGGAATGACTGCAGTGGCCCTGGGACTGCGAGGGACCGGGTCACTGTGAGCACTCCCTGAGGAGCAGGCATGGCAGGAAGCTGCCACTCTGGCTACACAGCACCACACTGAATAATTCTGTAGCAATAAACTCAAGCCCCAGAATCTTTTCCACATCTCAGGTTGAGAGAATTGGGGTCAGTATTTCAGCCTGGGCCAACAAGCTGAGCAGCGGCACTTTGATCCTAATTTGAGCCTGAGCTCTCGCTCCCGACCCCTGCGGTTTGAGGTGAGCCTGAAGCCACTATGCAGCTCAAGGGCTCCCCTCATCCTGCTCTTTTCTCCCTTGCCTGTTCCTCAGATCTGAGCTTCCTGGCTTCCCTCTTTCCATCTTCACCTCCTGTGAAGTGCACACGTGCCTTCGCTTGGCACGGGCAAGTGAGACAGGAAAGAGGACTGAGCGTCAAGGAGCTGCACCAGGCCTCGGGAGACCCAAGTCCTATTTCTGACTCTGCCACTTTGTACTGAGTGACCTCAGGTAAATCCCAGACCCACTCTGGGCCTCTGCATCTCCGTTTGCAAATTGGGAATAATAATAGTTTTCTGTCTCTCAGGAGCGAGGCACAGGCTCCACGAGCACTGAGCTGAATGTCACAGGAAGGCTGACAGCAACGTCCTACTCTGGGGCCTTAGAGCCCACAAAACTTGTAGTTTTCTTAAGCACTCGCCCCTGTTGGTCTGAGCCTCCCAAAAGCCCCTCTCTTTTTGTACTCACATGAGGAAATCACTTATCAGCCATTTCACTGCAGCTAGAAAGGCATAGATTGGCTGGAGAACAAAAGAAAAAAAAAAAAGAGAGAGAGAGAAAGAAAAAGAGAGAGAAACACCATAAGGACCTGGTCAGAGAATTTCTAATTGTTGTGCAGGACCCCACGTATCAGACCAGTTCCCTCCACTGCTCCAAACTCTTGAAGACAGGCTGGAAATTCAAAGTCTGGGTGTCACTGGAAAATGCTCAAAATGCATCAAAAGGCAGCAGAGCTGCCTTGCTACTAATAATATCCTCTCACCCCCTCCCAGGCAGGGGCAGGGAGTTTATCACGAATGTATGAAGGACTTTGAAGATATAATTGCTGGATGATTTCTCTCCAGTATGGATGACCTTGAGAGCTCAGAGCAGGAGAGAAATACAGCTAAATGGGACACCACCAGTTTTGGATGCTTTCATATTCTGATGGCAAGCGGTATTTCTGGGACGAGCTGCACTATTGTCCAGGAGCTACTGTTATCTGCTATTGATTATGTTTGACTGTGCTTTTATCCAGCTTTACCTCAAAATGGCATTTCTACTTTCATTTTCTTTCTTTTCAGCTACAAATTGAAAATTCATCATTGTGCCAGAGGCAACAGAGCCACCTTTCCCTCAGGGTGATGATGTCTAATTCTCACTTCTCTCTCCTAATCGCCCCTTTTCTTCAGCCCCCAAACAAATACAGAACACAAGGTAATCTTCAATTACTGCTAATTCCCTTATCTTCAAACAAAATAAGCCAGAAAATGGTCAAAAGTATAGATGGTTGGGAATTGGGTTGATTTTTCCTATGAACAGGAAATGAAAAATGCACTGTTTTGATGCCTTACTTTCTGAGGGTTTTGCCAGGAAGGGAAAGGGAGAGATGAGAGCTGAGTTTTCAAGCTGTTATTCTACTCCCATCTTGCTTGATTTTAGCAGTTCACTTTTTTTGACATTTCTTTCAATACTAAAATTCTATAGGCTATGATCAAGCAAATATTTTTACTACTATCAAAATATATTATCTATCTACACCAGGATATTAGTTGCTAGTATAGCAACTACTTAAAAAATATATGTATTTTGTTGAAAACACTTTTTAGTAGGAAAATATGAGTTAGGCCATTAAGAGCTACTTCCAGCACACTACATTACAGGTGTTAAAAAATGAACATATAATAATAAACACATTCCTGTAGAAGGTTGCTTTATCTAGTTTGATCTGGATTAGTTTTGGATTAATTACTTAGTTCTGTCTGGCAAGGCCAGGTTAGGAAGGTAGAAGAGGATGAGAATATTAGGCTGCTTCAGACTAAGAAGTGATTGCATCTGAGTACTGGTGAAGCTGTTGACTCTGTCACTCAGCCTTTCCCTGGGCTATCACATCTTCTCCCAGCTTTAACCTTCTTCCCATTTACTCAAGTCTACTTGATCTTCCATGAAAGGCTGATGACTTTGTTTTATTCCGAAAGGAGAGTTGCATTGTCAGTGATCAGAGCATCAGGGACAATGTCCTGTAAAAGCAATTCTGTTCCCTTCCGCTGCAATTTGGTTTCAGGCTTTCAGCAACCTGACATAGTCCAGTTTCTGCCCTCTCCCTGGTCCTTTGAATTTTCAGTAAGATTCTATATACCAATAAAGCGCTGAATTGGGACCATTGTTAGTGGCTGTCGCTGCCTCAGACATCTGCCTCAGTTGAGGTTGAGCATCGCCAACAGCTATAAAGCTCTTTTGGGGAATGTGCTTCATTGAGGTGCTGGAGATGCCCTAGCAGAAAGCCTCCACTGCCCACCCCAAGGCTACATGCAGAGAGATACATACGCTGAGCAGAGGCCGGGCTCCGCTGTGGTGGTGGTAGGGCATTTTACACATTGCTTGATAATCATACATAGTCACCCTACAATCAAAACAAAACAAGCAAGCAGTCAAAAGTAAGCAATGCAAGTGCCTCTGAGACACTCACGTCAGCGTGCACTACTTTCTTCCTATGTAGACCACATTCGTCTTTAAAAAAAAAATCTGCACAGAAGAACTCAAGTGGTGGCCTGCTTATAGCCCTTTCTGCTCTTTGACCACTTCTGAATTTTGAAAAGGGAAATATACAAGCCCCAGCTTCATGTAACTGGGTCAGTGCAGAAGCAAATGTGTGCCTAACTTCAGCTGCTGAGCAATACGGACTCTGGAACAGGAAAATTATAATTGTATCATCTGCTGCAAGCCTCCCTAGGTCTTGTTTTCAATCCACTGAAATTCTCAGTTCTCTTGAAAATTACTGGGGGTGTGGAATGAAAATAACAGTGGTATTTTTAAGAGACGTAAAGGTTCTCAGCTAGCTGCAGTGCTACGTCTGGAGGGGCCTCTCAGCCAACCACCCATGGAAAGGCTTTCCAAGTGGCACAGGGAACTGATTTCACACAAAATGCAAGGAAGTGTTTCCTTTGCCTTAGAAATGACAGCGAAGTAGCTGCTCTCTGGCAACACAAAGCTTGGGAATTACTGCACCCGACAGTTCTTTGCAGCAGGCTGAAGGGCAGAGATGGGGAGGAACAGGAGGCACAGTGATGAGAGTTGAGAGAGCCAGGGGAGGAGGGCAGGCAGGCAATGTAGTAAAATAGGAGCCACATGCAGCAGCCCAGACATCCTCCCCCTCCCCAGCAGTGCTGCTTCCAGGGCCTGATACACCTTGCTCCACACACCAGCTGAAAGCAGGGGACAGAGCAGAGATCCACCACCTACTTACCGCTTGAACATGCCCATATTTAGCAGCTGGGTCATTACTGATCCATCCACTGCACCAAAAAATTTTCCAGTCTGCAAGCACAAAAAAGAGGAATAAACTGTGAATAGTAAAATTTCCAAGTGCTCTACTGCTTCAGCTGATACGATCTGTCTAGCCGCTGAAGACCCTGCTACCTACTGCACACAGCAAGCATTTTAAGGAGTTTGTCCCTTATTTGGCTAGGAAGCTTGAGGCAGGACTTTCTCGTGCTGCTGGTTGGGCGTTCTGCACCATTCCTTCTTTGCTTCAGAATGGTTTTGCCCACATAAGTCCCTGCAGAGCCTGACAGAAAAAGGCAGGCTCTAAAGCTGCAGAGAACCAGGCACATTAATTCACCTGGAACCTGGGTTCTCTTGTGAGTTTTTGTGAGCCCATGTTCTCTGGATCTGAAATCTTAAGTCTCTTCAACTTGAGCCTGCTCTGCTAGCGTGGGGCTGTAGCGCCCTTGTAAACCTCTGTGGCCCAGCCACCCCAGCCTAACTAACTCACCGTGCCTAAGAGCACAGTGCAGATTTATTTAGGGAGCACAAGCAATTTTGGAACTCACTGTGGTGCAAGTTCCAAGGATGCAGTAGTTTAAAACCCAAACAACATATCGTGAACTGATTGATCTTTCTAGTTAGCACCAGACATTTTGTACTAGTACAGTCAAAGCTACTGCCCAGGCTTTACCCGAGCAGAGGCTGCATTTGTGGGGAGCAACAATGCCCAAATTCTGTTTGCATTTCTGGACCAGAAGTGGGGCTTGTAACTCTGTAGTTTCATTCATATCTTAGACCTGATAAACCTAAGTAGGATCACAGTCCCAACTCTGGACACTACCACAGTAAAGACTTCCTTCACTGAATGACAATTCTAGCTTTCCTGATTGCTAAAGTGTAACAAATCTTTTTCAAAAATTCTCCCGATCTGCCAAGTACATTGCTTTGTTTGCAAGCAAGTAAAATACTTGTAAATTATAAAAATATAGATACAGATTTGTCTTCTGCATCCTGGCTGAAGGGTCTTGACACAGTAAATAGCACCTATATGATATGGAACCATATAGAACCATTTATGTAGTCTATGAGGGGACATTTTACTTTTCCACTGATAGGCTACCAGTTCTTTAGCAGTTGACAGATGACTTCATTTATCTGAGTGGGCCATTTCCACTAAAAAAAGCCTTAGGCAGCTTTACCTAAGATCATATGGTAATCATATAACAGTAGCGTTACATGGCTATGAGCCTCCTCCCAACAGGCTTTAGAAGGTGTTTCATTGCATAAATCGATACATGACATCAACCTCCCTTTCAGCTTTTGGATTTTTAATAATCTATCTCAAGCATAGCTGAATGCGTCTGAGCAAGCGCTAATTTTTTCCACCTCTCCAGCTCTTTCAAGCTGATTATGGTGGTTAGGAGGCCAGCTGCCTGCATTTAATACCAGTCTGCAGCCACCGCCAGAGCTGGAGCAATGGGATTTAGCACAGCCCAATCTCCAGCTGGTGTGACAAGGGCAGAGCATCACTGTGGGACTGCAGAGGGGACCTGCACTATCCAGAGACACTGATGTCTGACTGAATTCCTGATGGGAGGGCCTGATTCTTACTGGTACGAGGGGATGTTTGTGTTAAGTGAGAGTAAGGCCTGGGGAATAGGTACAGAAAAGCATAGGCAACCTGACATTTAACACAGATTCAGACATCCAAAGCTAAACGCTGGTTTAGGTGCTCTGTGCAGCAGTAACGCATAAAGCACAAGCCAAAACAGTTCTTTATCGAGGCAACATTTTGCAGAGCAGCTCTCATTACAGTCTCCTGCCTCCAGCGTCTGTCCACTGCCGCTGCAAACATCCCTCTGCTGTGTTCCTCCTCCCTCTCAGCTCGGAGCAGGTTTCCGCAGGCCCCCGTGGTTTCAGAGATCTACAGTCACCTTCGACATCCTGGCATGACACGCGGGATGTCACAGCAAGGAGCCGCGTCCTGGAGCCCACCTGCAGCTGGCAGGGTGCATCACTGCTCATGCACATGTATCCATCCACGCCTTGGCCGAGCACTAAGCGATCCACACAGAAGACAGTTTGTTTTATGTCTGCTGCGATACTGTCCGTGATCAGGAATTACCATTGCTGGCCATCTTGTCAGATCCAGTGGTGGGGAGTGGGCTGGTGGGGTCTTGGTCTTGGTCTGCTATATCCTGCCCCTTGTCCTGGGAGTCCCACCTGGGCACTACTTGCAGAATTATCCTGCAAGATGCCTCAGGGAGAAGGCAGGAGTCCCAAAGAAATGCTCGTGTTGAGTGAGGGGACATCCGCATGCCGCACGTGGAGAAATGCCAAGACCAGAGCTCCGCAGCAGTGCCTTGGGCACTTGTTCCGACCGGCAGTGAATGCCGGCTACAAACTCAGGGGCGGTCACGGGCAACACGGCAACACGGACAGAGAAACCCTGTTGCAGCACAGGGCAGCTCTGGGGATGCGGCGCTAAGAGCAGGCGGAGGGCTGTCTGCATGGCCCGCGCCTGGCGGGGACGCAGCTCGGCGCCGCTGTGCGCGGGATGAGATCGCCTCGGGTTTTGACAGCGCTGGACAGTGCCTACCAGATACTTTCCCTTCCTCTTCTGCCCCAGATTGCCTGGTCTTCTCTCCCACCCACTCCTCTTTCATTCTCTAGCTATTAACTCTTCGCTCCCTCCACGACCAGTTTGGATGGAGGATTAGTCCGAATTAAGAGATTACCCCTTCTTTTCCAAGTAATCCTGCAGGGAGCTTCCATCTCATCAGTCATTAAAACCCCGAGTCCCTCTTTCTTCTGCAGCAGTGCCTGGCTGTGGATAAGCTCCTTGCCACCTCCGGGCCGTGGTGATTAGAGCCAATCCCCCAGGCCGAAGGCAGCGGGGAGCAGAGCCCGAACGAGGCTGCGTTCAGAGGGTTTGTGTGCGGAGCCCTGCTTGCTTCCAGCACCAGGAGGGGCTGCGGGGCTGGGAGCAGGCCGAGTGCACGGCGAAGCACCATAGCCCAAAGGGAGCGAGCAGAGAAGCAGAGTCGAGGCTCTCACAGCCCCTGGAGCTCTCTGGCTGCTCCTATGCGTGCCCTAAGGACACACGCACCTCGGCACCTCTCCTCTGTTTCCATCTGGAGTGGCACCCCAGAAAGCAGCGCCACGTCTATTCCCAACGTGAGGCAGGTTCCTTCGCTGCTTTTTTCGGACAAACTCCCCTCGCCGGAGCTGCTGCGGCCTGTGCGGCGCCGCCCGGCCGGGCGGCC